ACAGGACTGAGCATTCATTCTTCTTTAAAATAACTTCATCTCCTTTCTCGCCAATCTTTACCTCACACTATTTGATTTGGCAAAAAGCAACAAAACAATAGCATTTGAAAGCAAAGCCTTAGCTAGTTACACCTGAATTACCAGATACACAATAATCCAAGGGAGGATTCATTTCCATGCATGTTTCTTTGAAGTGCTTTACAAACATTAGTTAATCCAACTCACAGGGGTGATGTAGGATAAGTATTTATTATCCTCATTTTAGAGACACAGGAATCAGAGTGACTTGCCCAACAGCATAAGGAAACCCAGCCTGGAATTAGAATTAGTTCCCAGTGCTGTACTCTAAGCATCATATTATGCCTAGATGTTTAAAGGCATCTTTAAGCACCTAGATTTAAAATAGCTGATGTGGTTATATATATGGTTATGTGGGTGTATTAATAACAACATTAAAAACAAAACAAAAGGAACAACAAGTTACTGGTGTGAGAAGTAAAGAATATTGTAACCATTAAGAGATTGCTTTACTGTAACTCTCCAATTTACCATTTAAAATTAAATACAATACTACTCATTTTAAATGTCCATTAGACAAACATCCAGACAGGGTTTAATGCACACTTAAAGGTATATTTGATAGTTGTCAAGAGTGAAATGTTAACATAATAAACAGAATCTTAGCACTTTGCAAAGAACATATCAACAAGACATTATCATATTGTGAATATAATAAAATTATCCAGTGTGTCTTTAATCTCCTACAAAATCAGATATACAGAACTCCCTGGCATATGCAAAGTAGAAATTAACAATATTCAGAATTCACTACACTGAAGACAGAAAATTAGAAGTCAACTTACCAGTAACAACCAAATTAAAGAAAATGGTATAAAGGTGTTACTGTTTTCCACCAAGATTTTGATTACCCTACAGGAATCCAGCTATTTTCAAATGAATAGAAAGGTCAGTGTAACACTATTTAGATAGGAGCTGAGCTACTGACACTGCTACAAAAAACTGCACCACATCTCAGACAAGACTCATGCTGCACATAACAGTCCATTATCCACCTGAACACTTTCAGTTAATATTTAGTTTATACAATATCTTTTTGTTAATTCTTATCTCTAGATCTTGCAGTGTCTAAAGTATGCAAATAATCAATTCAGTTTGTTAGTTTACCTTTTATAACACTTCAAAGAGCTGATAAACTTTAGCACAATACTGAAAAACAGTGTTTTGCTTAAAGCCAAAGATGGGAAAGAAGAAGGGACCCAGGTTTTTAACTCAAGATGAGAGGCAGATTCAGGGTAAAGCCAGGAAGGAGAGTAAGACTTGTTTCATTTCAGACTTAAGAGCAGATTTTAAAAGGTAAGGAAAAGCAGGACCTAGATGTTTAAAACACATTTTATATCTGAGGCAACTTCTTCAGGATATTTTTGATTCCTAACAACAAAATAAAAAGAAACCAACACTCTCAACCTCTCCCCAAAATCCCACAAGGAACATAGTAGGGATATAATTATATTTGTACATTCTTGAGCCCACTGACATGCGTTACAGACTTGACCCTCTTCCTATTCAAATTAATGACAAAACCCCAGTAACCCTAATTTAGCAAAATCAAGTCCTAATTATCTATCATAAATCTAACTTTGGGGTATTACTAATGTTAATAATAAATATAACCAAGAAAGCTAGTGAGATACAGAAGCCAACCAAGCAAACAAGAATAACCAAACTGTCTATGATCATCATACCTCTACTGTCTTCTGAATTTTTTTTAACCTGTTTGTCTGCCGTCTTATGTCATGTTTGTTTTTGTTTTGTTTTTTAAAGAAACTAGTCATTTTCCTGTTTAGTATTATTTAATATCCAGCTAAGTACAAGGAATATTTATAGCCACTGACACCATAAATGGAAGGTGAGGTCTATCATGAATAGCACATTCATTCTTTCTGCTGGAAAGAGGTTTTGTTTTTGACTGTTGAAGCTATGTTATGGAAGGCTTGATATACTTTCCACTGCAGAACGTTTCTTTATTTTCCTTTACACTTAACTGTCTTTCCATGCTTGTTTTACAGCGTTCTGGCTTATCACTCCTGATTTGTCTTTGTGACCAGCCAAGTTCAGGATAGGTTATATTTTAAAGGCTTGCACTGTCTACTCATTACCAACAGTTTAATATTTCGCATTCCCTACAGGAAAGTCATTGCGACCATTTGCAAGGGGCCTTTCCAACATCTGTTATGCAAGACTTGGCTAAGATAAATAGCTATCAATCGCTGATGCCCTAAATATTTTTGCTTCTAAATCAATCCGTGGAAAACCCCACTCACCAAGACATTTAAACGTGACATCCAGGCAAGCAGACATGCAGCTATAAAGTGAGTGCCCAGCTGATCAGTCTGAAGACAAACAGCTAAATCCAGTTCAACCGCTAATAGCTTCGACATATGTTCAAGGTACCACAATTAGCATCGTGCTGTTTATCTCTAGTCCTCTAGAGAGAAGCTGTATTTTTTTGTCCTAATAAAAACATGTCTAGCCTTTTCCCTGACACACACATACACCCCTCTGCGTTTAGCTCTCAGGATAACAAGTCGCTCACTTTCACTGAAATAAACCAGGCACAAGTGTGAGCGGGAGAGGAAGGACAAGCTTCTTTGACCCCCCTCCCCTCCGAAAAGCAATTGCAAAATGCAAAATAACTTTATTTCCAAAACGTGTGTCAAAAAACCACCCGGGCAAGCTCCAAGCCATCCCTCAGCAAAACAACCGCCTCCCCAGCGCCTCTGGGATCTTAAATAAGCTCCAGCTCAGCTCCTGGAGCCTCTTGCTCTGACTTTTGCCAGCAACCCCAGCCCTGGATGGGTACGAGACCAAGCCCCGGCCCCTGTGCGCAGCCTCCCGGAAAGCCGGACAACTCCCCCTGCCTCTCCCAGCTAGAAACAACAAACGACGCGGCGGGGCAGCGCGGGGAGTCACAGCAGCAAAAACAAGCACGGAAAAGTTGTGTGCTGCGTGCGTGCGTGCGTGCGTGTCCAGGGCACCTTCAGTCCCGCAGTCCCGCCGCTTGTGGAAGTGGACAGCTGGGACGGGAACGCTTTCTACCCCGCCCCCCTTTGGTTTGGGTCAGGGGCAGGGAGCGGCTTCTTCAGGCAAGAGGTGGGAGCAGGGGGCAGCGCGTCTTCCCATCGGCTCACGCCGGCACCGCCTCGGGGTGCGCCGCGCTCCGGCGGGCAGGGGGTGCACGCGCGGCCCCTTCCCAACACACGCGCACGCACGCATGCCTCCCCAGTGCGCGCGCACACACACACACCTTTCCACCCAGCTGTAGCCTTCCCCCCAAAACACACACACCTCTCTGCCCAGCTCCCCCGTATACACACCCCGGTACACACACGCACACATCTCCACCACTCACACACACGCCCCTACACACACACCTCCACCACTCACACACACACATGCCCCTATACACACCCCCTCCACCACACACATAACCCTCCACACACACACCTCCCTCTCCACACACCTCTCCACACATACAGCCCTCCACACACACCTCCACCACACACA